CGCTGATATCTGTATTCAACTTCAATGTGGGAAGCTATTCGTGATCCTTGTTTTTCTGAAGACGGCCGCGCAACTGCATGCTTCCAGCCGCCCCTGATTTACCAACTCCCCTGCTGACCGATTCTGGATGGGCTGGTGGAGATACTTTCTGATCGCGACCGCGAGCGGGTACCCGCGCGGCGTCGAAAAGGTCGCGCAACGAGCGGAAGCCGGTGGGCGCGGCGCAACTGCCGCCGGCGAGACGCAGGAAAAAGGGGGCCACTACGCCGAGGCAGCGCTAGAGTGACGAAAACGGGCGGGCGACGCACCGCGGCGCCGCGGGCGAAGCAGGAGAGAGCGAAGACGACGAAAAGAGGATAACACGGGAAGACGGCGAAAGGAAGGGGGAAGAGAAGCACGCGCGGCGCGGCTCAGAGACGAAGGACCGGGTAGGTGACCGCCATGGACTCGTTGCTCTCCGAGTACTTGCAGCGGGTGAACGACCGGGTAGCCGATGGCGAACCGGGTCCAAGTACTTAGCAGCGGGTGAACGCCGGCTGTCAGACGTCGATAATCATGAACCTGTCAGACCGAGTGCCGAGTTAGCGAACGCGCGCCAACGGCGGGGGACCGAGATGAAGGGCCGCGCCAGGGGGGGCCGCGCCCGGGAGGCCCATGGAAGCGCGAGCCGCGAACCGCACCGAGGTGCAGGGAGCTGACCGGCCGGCCGTCCTCCAGGGCCGTTGCGAGACCGCGGGCGCATAAGGAACCTACCGGCCCGCGAGCTCCGGGGGGGGGGGGGGCGGAGGGTCACGGGCGCCCGGCAGAGGGGGGCGGCTCGCAGCCGCGGGAACTTCGGTTATCTTCGAAGGGGGGCGGCTAACAGCCGCTGAAAGATGGAGACGGCGCAGTTGGGTTGCGGCGGACAGCCGCGGGGGGCTCGGAAGAGGTTTTACCTGAGACCAGCCGACGCGCCCTTGTGGGGGTGCAACTAACGGCCGCGGGTGGCAGGCAAAGGAACCGCTGGAGACATGCCGGGGCCCGACGGGGGCGCGGCTAACGGCCGCGGAAAGGTTGGAGACGGTTTCGCCTGAGACGAACCGGCGCTCTGGCGGGGTGCAGCTAACAGCCGCGAGAAAATGGGAAAAGGGCGACGCCTGGACTGGCCGCGGCACGAGGAGGGGCGCGGCTAACAGCCGCGGAACGGTAAGGAAAGGTTCCGCCTGAGACCTGTCGATGCACTGCTGGGGTGCGGCTAGCAGCCGCGGGAAGTTGGGGAATGGCTTCGCCTGAGACATGCCGATGACCTGCTGGGGTGCGGCTAACAGCCGCGGGAGGGTGGGGGATGGTTTCGCCTGAGACATGCTGACGGCCTGCTGGGGTGCGGCTGACAGCCGCGGAGTGGTAGGAACGTGTCGCGTCTGTGCGGTCGAGTGGGGTGCGGCTGACAGCCGCGGGCGACGCGCAGGTGGGGCGCAGCTAACAGCTGCGAGAAGATGGGAACGGGCGACGCCTGGGCTTTCCGCAGCATGAGAGGGGGTGCGGCAGACAGCCGCGGAATGGTGGGGAGAGGATTCGCCTGAGACCTGACGATGCGCAGCTGGGGTGCGGCTAACAGCCGCGGGCAATTGGGAATGGTTTTGCCTGAGACACGCCCATGCACTGCTGGGGGGCGGCGAACATTCGCGGGGGGGTGGAGCGTGGTTCCGCCTGGGGCATGTTGATGCTCAGCTGGGGTGCGGCTAACGTCCGCGGGAGGGTGGGGGATGGTTTGGCCTGAGACCTGCTGGAGCTCGGCTGGGGTGCAGCTAGCAGCCGCGGGTTAGCGGGAAAAAGGCTTTGCCCGAGACATGCGGGTGCTCTGGTGGGGTGCAGCTAACAGCCGCGAGGTGACGGGAAGAGGCCGGGCCTGTGAGGCCGAGGGCCGAGGGGGTCAGCGACGGGGGGGCGACCAGGTCTAGGATCATCTGGGGTGCGGCTAACAGCCGCGGGAAGGGTGAAGTGGACAGGGTCGGACCATTGTGCCAGATCCACCATGGCGGGGTAAGGTGCCGCAGCCCGTTCCACCCCATGCAGTGCAGCAGACAGCCGCAGCGGCGTGGAGCGGGCGGTGGACGGATCAGGCTACCAGAGCCCGAGGCCAATCTGAATCAGGTGCCAAAACGACCGGGGGCGCTTCGCATAAGGCCTGCCAAGGCGAGTTGGGGGGCGGCTAGCAATAGCGAGCACTGAGCCGGTCGCGTGTGGAGAAACGCCCATGGTCGGTGCACTGAGGGCAGCCGAAAAAAGAAAAGGGTGGCAGGCCGCCGCCGTGGAGTTAGTGGGGGGCCCCAGGAAAGGTGGCGACCCAATCGATTCGAATAGGTCAGCCGGTGGAGGAGGGGGGCGGCTGTCAGTGGTGAGTAAGTAGTCCGGTGGGGCCATCACGCGCCTGCCAGGCTCCCCCGAGAGCGGAAAAAGGCGCTGCAGATGTGCGGGGCAGCGGGGTGCTGCAAAGGAGGGCTGCCGCAGGGGCTCTAGC